CGTGCAGACTTACGAAATAAAAAGAATGGTCAAGGCTAATTAGCTAAAGGCTTGATTACTTTTTTTGACCCGATGAGACTCCTTAAATATGTATGGGTCGGGCAAACTCGGATATACAAGGTGACTCCTTGTAAACTGTAATTCTAAATTTACAGCAAATCTGCTAACATAGCAAGGCTTGATTTTCAAATGATAAACTTTCTTCATTCAGAGTAGATTGCCATATCCACTTTGCATTGGTAATTTAGTGGAAAGCAAATCTAATAGTGTTTGTAAAATTATAAATATATACCACATTATACAACTTCAACTGTAAAAGGTTCATGAGACAAAAGACCTCACATAGTATTTAAGAAAACACGTGATGTGATAATTTTGCATATTTAGACCACCCTTATGGATAATGGTAATGTCCAGTGGACGAAATAATAGCAAACTTATTATGCCTCATTTCAAATAAACCACTAACTTTTAAAGCAAGTGATGATGAAACTTTGTAGTTTGCCCAGTCGAGTAGTTAGTTTAATGTTTTTGAAAATCGACGCCATTTCATACAAAAACGGATAGAAAATTTAGGATCCAGCTCATGCTATCAGTCAGGTAGATGATGACAAGCCCATACATTGAAGCCTTGTTCAACCGCGTGTATATCTGTTCATGACACGCTTCATTGTTCACTCGTGCATACCAAAGATTAGCAGCCCTCAGACCAACCAGAAAAGGCAAGCCTTCCTCCGCAGGACTTCGTGGTTTTCGCGCAGTACCGAGACCGCAATCGTTGGGAGGGGCTGCATGACTGCTCTTTGCATTATACTCCACCCAGCAACAACTGTCTGGTACCCAAATGTTCGCCCTATAGCCAAGGGCAGTGATAGTTTTATTATCAGCCGACGAGATCTGGCTACCAGTGAACCAATCACGATGGAATTCATCGATACCGCAACATTCAAATTGCATCTGCAACCAGTCAAGAAGTTGGCGTGATTGCATGTCCTCAAAATAGGTAAGGACGAGACCACGAATAGTCTTCCTCAGAGCAGACAGAAGGTTTTCACGATAACGGAAGAGAATGTATACGGATGCAATATTACTACTAAATCCAAATGTAATAAGGCAAAGCAATAGTACACGGATCCAAATCTTCTTTGTTTGGTATGCTCGAATCGAGGTGCAGAGTATAATGCAGTCCCAGATGGTTAAACAAAAGATA